TTTTATCACTATTGTGGTACCGAAGAAAAGTGGTAAAAATAGTATCACAATAATAATAAAAATATCCACAAGAATGATAAAAAAACACACAAAACTGGTAAACCATATACAAAGTGGTAAACCATCTACAAAAGTGATAATTTTGTTTGTACCAAAGAAAAGTGATACCATAACAGTGATAAAAACACCTACAACATCGATAAAAACACCTATTAAAGTAATAAATCACCCACAAAAGTAATAATTTTTTTGTTATAAAATGACCTACAAAAATTATAAAAAATCCTATTAAAAAAAAAATTTGAAAGTACAATAACATTTTTTTTTGATACCGTAGTCAAGTCCTAGGATTAAATGTGAAATAATATTAATATTAGTGGACAAATTTATAATAATAATGGACAAAATTACAACATTAATAAAAAATTTACAAGAGTAGTGGGAAAAATTATCACAATAGTAGTAAAAATTACAACATCAGTGAAAAATTTACAACATTAGTGAGCAAAATTACATCAATAGACAATTTACTATAGTAATAGGCAAAGTTACTACAATAGTGGCAAATTTTTACCACCATTTGAGGTACCATAACTATATTTTGTGGGTTTGTGATTGATCAGTAATATTGATCGATCGAACAAGTAGTTGCACATTGAGTCATAATATTAATCAGAACAGTCATAAATTAACCACAAAACTTGTAAATTAATTCATACTTGTTGTAAATTGACCCCTTAAAGGTGGTAAATCTATCCTTAATTGTGGAAAATTGCCCACAATTTTACTATATTTCACTCTAGTGACTTATGATCGATTACAAACGTATTGTTTTTCAAAAAAATTTGGGAGGGACTACTGCAATCTTGCGATTGATTACAAGATCTTACGATAGATTGTAAATATTTTGGAGATATAAAAATAATAACTTCGATATATTCTGAATAATAATTTTGATATATTCTAAAAAATAATAATAATTGCGATATATTCTTAAAAATAATAATTGGGATAGATCGTTGTCAACTTTATTTATTAAGATCTAATTTCATCAAATTGATCATTAGTTTTATCATGTCAAAATTCAATTTTATCAAATTAACATCAAATTCACCTTCAATTTTACTTATTAAAATTTAATTTCATCAAATTTATACCAAGTGATATTTAAATATAAATTATAAAGGGTGTTAATAACGGTCAATTTGATGATAATTTCAAATTTAAGAATTTTATTGTTAATTTAGTAAAATTGACAGTCAATTTGGTGATAATTTGATGAAATTGACAGTCAATAACAATATGCCTTTCATGCAACTAAGTTTTCTCTCCCGTTATTGGAGGCATTATATAGTATTTATAGAGTTGTTCCTTGATGTGTGAGATCTTTGCCGAGATCCTAGTCTTTCATCCGTGGATTACTCCTTGATTTTTGGATAATATCTTGGTTGCTTGAAGGTTTTTGTGCCTTGGATATGGCTCTCGGCCGCTTACTGGGTTCCAGCTAACATCTAGTTGTTCCCTTATCATTTATGTTATTGTCTCGTCTGCGTGTCTTGCCTGACCTCCTTGTCTGACTTCCACGCCTAAGCTCATACTTTGAAAGTTATTCTATGTATCATCAAACTTAATATCCAACAAACTAACACTTCCCTTTGCCTCCTTTAACTGAATTCTGGCTTCTTGGAGTTCTGTGGTACAATTTATGAACTCCCACTCCTCATCATCATCACCAACAACATTTCTATGAGACACCATCTGAGCAATTGATAAACACAAACAATCATGTGCCAAGCCAAGTATATGGTTCACATCTTTGATTGTCATCCAAGGAGAAACGTCTGGATTTACTTTAAATTTACTAAAGAAGTCCACTAAGAAAGAATGAGTTAGACTCATGATGGAGCATTGTGGGTATGAAGTTTTGATCACGTCAAATAATTGAACTACGACAAAGAGTGAAAGTTGATTTTCGTATAAAAATAAATCATGAATTAGGCCAAATTGAACCTGATTCATANTTATTAAGATCTAATTTCATCAAATTGATCATTAATTTTATCATGTCAAAATTCAATTTTATCAAATTAACATCAAATTCACCATCAAGGCCAANTTAAAGGCCCATCAAGGCCAGCATGTTGTGAGCAGAAAACTTATATTACGACAAATTGATCTGCAGAGCTATGTATGAAACAAGTAGCAAATAGAGGGAAAAAAAAACAGTAGGGATACTTGTATATGTAGAAAATTCAGAGGATTGAGTATTGAAGAACTTATACTTGATATACTTTTCAGTCCTTGCGACGGAGATATTATGTGAAGATGAGATAAGAAAGAAGAAGTAGAAGCAACTCTGTTGGGGAAAATAGGTTTTCCCATAAGTGTAAATCAATGGAAGCAATATAAATAAAATAACAGAAAATAAATAAGCACACAAGATTTACGTGGTTCCCTCAAATAACTTGAGGTACATCCACGACGACCGGTAGGTCAGTTTCTTCCACTATCACCAAATCAGATTACAAAGTGGCCAAAAGGCATAAGCCTTACAAACACACCAAGGTGTAAATCACAAGAGGAAAATACCTCACAAAATAAGTGAACCAAATCTCCAAGAACAAACCGCAAGAAACCCAAATATCAAGTGAA